GTTTGAGTTATATATATTGCCTTTGCACTGCCCAAACCAGAGCTAAAAGTGTGTCCTTCCTCCAGACAGTGCACTCTGCACCCATTAATTGTGAATTACCCATCCCGTCTACCCCCTCCCACCTGCCCGGCACCCAATGAATATTACTTCCATGTGTGCCCATCAGTGTTGCTCAACTGGTACCAATTTGATGGTGAGTACATGTGGTGCTTGTTTATCCATTCTTGTGATACTTCACTTTGAAGAATGGGCTCTAGCTCCATTCAGGATAATACGAGAGGTGCTAGATCACCATTTTTTTTTATGGCTGAGTAGAACTCCGGCATATACATATACCACATTTTATCAATCCACTCATGTATTGATGGGCACTTGGGTTGTTTCCACATCTTTGCAATTGTGAATTTTGCTGCTATAAACATTCATGTGCAGATGTATTTATTATAGAATGACTTTTTTTTCCTTTGGGTAGATGCCCAGTAGTGGGATTGCTGGATCAAATGGTAGTTCTATTTTTAGTTATTTGAGGCATCTCCATATTAGAAAGTCTTAATAAATTTTTGAAAAGTAAAGATTCTAGAAACCATATATTCTGATCATAATCAAATAAAATTAGGAATAAATAACACTCTTCTAGTTGTAGGATAATGCTGGCATCATAGTTTTGATTCTCCCCAAAACTCCTCCTGAAAACTATAAATTCAATTGTGATGGCAAAGCAAACACACACACACACCCGAAAAAACAAAACAAAACTCAGATATATTGCTAGCAAAACTGGTTGACAAGAAATTCCCACGAAGAGGACCGGGTGCTATGCCCTGAATGCAGATAAGCAGCAGGATTAGCTCAGAGTTTAGATCTATGTCGATAACACTGGTGAGAACCAAAAAAACTTTCAACTGACCATACAATCCACGAAATTCCACTTGAAACTCTAAGAAACATCCAGAAGAGCAGGCTTCAAAGTAAGGGAACACTGTTAGAGGAAGAAAGCAAATTGAGGAACAATTTGGGTGGGCTGAAACAAAATAGTTCTTGCTCAATTAAAGAGGTTTATTAAAGTTCAGCTTTAAAAAAGGAACAATTCTAAAGTATATTAATATTTTAAAATCTTTAAAATATGAAACAAAATTTCTCCTAAGAATAATAACTGTTTCTCACTGTTGAGTTTTTCAAAGACAAACCTGTTGACTCATTTATGATCTTGTTTTACTTCTAATTAAAAATGCAGGCAATTCAGAGTGTGACACAGAATTTATTACATTCTATGTATTTGGAAGCAATTTTATTGAAATTTGAACATTTTAAACTCTAATGGCTTCAAATACTAGCTTTCTGAGAAAAACTAACAAGTTAACATTAAAATATAGAAAATATTTCTAAGACAGGAAAGCTTTATTTTCAGTTGGCCTGATATCTTTTTTTATCAACAGGTGGTTATAGATCATTAAAAATAGTTTCTTTCCTCTCCAGGAGAAGCGTAGTATTGGGCATCTCCTGGTTATTTTTTCTTTGTTTTCTTTTTTTTCTGTATGTCAGAAACCGGGGTCTTCTTTTCTGTCTCTGCCCGCATGGCAGCTTCCTGAGCAGCCAGCGCTTCCAACCTTTGGCGCTCAGCTTCCAGCAACTTGTTTCTGTACTCTTCCCGGATATTGAAGATCTTCTGTCGGGCTTCATCTAAGGAGTCCTGCCCAAAGCAAAACCCCAAACAGATAAGTTCCACTGATAAAAGTTTATGGTCCCAGAAAAAGAAAATGTAATCCTTTTACGTTTTCCTTATGCCAATAGATTCATGTGGAAAATTACGGAAAATAAAAATTAGGTTATGGTCTCAAATGCTTATCAATACACAAACACGTTATAGTAAACAAAGGGTGCATGAGATTTTAACACAGTGTGGTAAAAAAAAAAAAAGCATTGATAGGAGAAAAATAAAGAGAAAAGTAAAGGAAGAAATAGGTAGAAATTTTGGCAAAAGGAACTCTGCTTTAAATGAGTTCAGATACAACCTATGTAAAATATTAAGCCCAATGTCTCTCATATAGTAACTGTGCTCTATAATTTCCCCACATGTATTCTAGTCCTGACAAAATGTACCTGAGCTACACTTGAAGAACTTGCAAATAATACCACCTAATCCATTGGTTATCTTTTTTGTTGTCAATTTTACTTTCATTCTTCCCACTCCAACAAAACTATATTCCTCAAGGACACCAGTGACCTAAATGTAGCTAAATCCATGATCATTTCTTGGTCGTATTCTTGCTTCACCACATTTTATCCTCCTGGATTGACTGACTTCACGTGGCTTCCTGGACATCGCTCCCTTGTCATTTCCCTTCTGCCTCCCCAGGGGCTCCCTTCCGGTCACCTATGCTGATCTCTCCTTTCCTCCTCCATCTCTGAACGTGGAAGTGGACACATTGATTGTTTACTATTTCAAAAGTGATATAATCAAAGGATAAGGATTGATGAATGGATGCTAGCCTGAAGAGAACCTTCTAGAAATGACCACTTTGTCTTTATCCTTGAATTTTCCAAGAAATTTTCCATGTTTTTGCAACTGGAATGATTTTGTTGAGACATTAGAATAGCTGGATGTCAGAAACAGACTTCTCGAAGCTTTGGATGAAAGAAAAGTACTGTATCTACCATAATAAAACTGCATACACTAAACCAATTGAACAAGTATAAGATGATAACAGTGACATATTAAAACGAGACAGAGAGAGACAGAGAGATCTTAAGGGTTTTAGGTAAAGTAAGTTTAATAGATATCAGTAATCCCTTGAGGAATGGGTATAAAACATACCCATTCTACTATTTGATAAGAAATATGTTACTGATCATGTCTCTCTTAAAATGGCTTCAATCAAAATTACAGTGTTTGTACCACACACTTAAAAGAATGGAGTCTGAATTCAAAGCTGTTCCAGTTAATATTATCTCCCCATCTTCTCCCCATCTGTTGCATTTGTCTGTCTATTAAACACAGAAAAAACAAACGGCAATCCTGAAATTCCCTTTTGTCTTATAATTTAATTTTAAATATTTCCTTTATGACAAATTGAACCTATACAAATTTAATATTCATTCATTGATTTACTGATTCATTTATTAAACAAACTTTTTTTTTACGCCCATCAAAAGACATTTATTAAGTGCTTATTTGCACATTACACTGTGCTAAATGTGGAACCAACTAAGTCTTAAAACCCACTCTCTTGTATCATCTATGCAGGATTTGAAGAAAGAGCAAGCAGACTTCACCTGGAGTTTAGAGCTTCAAATAAAGCAACTTTCAGA